GCCCCATACAAGCAAACACAATGATCTTGGTCATTATCAAAGCCAACTCATGCTTCCTGGGTAATAAGTCCCAACTCCAGCAAAACAATCCAAGATCATGTTTGATTTCTTATCGAACTGAAGTTGAACTGAAGTTGCGAGAAATTTACCTATGCAAAACACAATGAACTCCAGCAAACACAATGAACACTTGAAGGGGTGACCAAAATGAGACGCTAACCGGAATTGTGCCTATGCAGAGTAGATCCCCCAAGTACAATTTCACATCCAAAAGAAAGACAAAATGTTGGTTTCAGAGAAACTTGAAGAGTGAATCAGCTTCAAGAGGCAGATTCCTAGACAAGGCTCTTTAGCTCAACAAATGGTATAAACAATTTTCGAACAAATGTAGACAAGGAAAAAAGAATAACATCAATTTGAATCGTTTGTTATATTTCGTGAAAACACACAAAGCTTTGCACGCATAGATTAATGCATCCTCACATGTGAATGCAAGCTGAAAGACTTCAAAATGGATACAGCAGAAATACCAACAATTTCAGAAGCCTAAATAATAAGGTATCCCCCAATGCAAGGAAGGAACGCTTTCGCTCATGGCTTGCTGCGATTTCCCCATCTTCACTCTCCTGTACCAAATTAAACCACTGATATTAATGTGCATGACATTCGCTAAAAATTGGAAAAGATAAAACAATTGCTAAAGCCATCAGTGAAGGAAAATTTCTTTATAAACACAAAATAGTCAGAATTCTGAAGTCTGACAGGTGACAGGTGGTGTTGGACTTAAGATCGTATCCATACACCATCCTTGCATTTGAAGATCATTCCATTCTTATGAGAGAATTTCATCAAAGTTTTGACACCAATCGACAAATCATTCATATGCATGCAGATGGTCAAAACAAGAATACAAGTAAGCTATATGCCACCCAAAGTTGCAAAGAATACATGCAAAACAACTATCACTAAATCAAAGCCTTGAAGGTAATGTCGTGTGGCAACATTTTAGATCTGTAACGAACCGGTTGAGTGATTAATTGCTCAAAATCTCATCCAGAGAGATTTCTTGCCGAACAAAAGCATACTGAACTGATATCACTTCATCAAGTTCATTAATGCAACATTACTACTTGAAGCTCTTAAGCAGAAGCTTCCATTTCTCATATATATGGAGTTCATGTCCCTGTTATATGATGCCCCTACATGTCAAAATTGATTATATGATCGAAGAGTTATTAATTGATAGTAAATAGCGAAAGAGTAAACAAGCACTGAATTTCTATCCATGAGACTATACTCAAGAAACAGGTCATACAAATCATTTGAGAGGTGCAGTCTACATTAAATTACTCGATTTTTTTTTTTTTGGCAATTTTCTTACCATTCAAATTCTAAAACAAATTCATTTTAAAGCAACCAAAAAAATATTGACAGAAACTAACTTAAAATTGCTTGATGCCTTACTAAACCCTAAAGCCCAAGTGTGCTGATAAGTAAGCTCCTAAACTTTTTTCACAACGAATACCAATTTAGTTTTGTTTATTGAATATGGGGCTAGTATAAACCAGTGAAAACTAAAAATGCTGATTTTAGTTGCACAAGGCACAAACAAGTCTTTATGAATTCTTGCTTCAAGAGGCAGCAGAAACAGACTCACCCTTACTGCCCTTGTTCTTGCCCAATGAATATAATAACATTACAATCGGGCAGCTTCTAGTTACCTCAAGTATAAGCATAGCATCATGTAGATGGCAAATTTATTATTTTAGCTACTTGACATTGTTTTTGACACATGATTAGTAATGAGTGATTGAATAACTTCTTAAGCCATTCAAAATTTGCTCTCTGTAGGATTTTAACTGTGAAATTTGTTTTCTTTCAGTAAAAATTTTGCAAATGTTTAGCAAACCATGATTTTGGCAAGCGCAATACCTAATCACACTTAACCACCATCTCAAGTTATTCATAGATATTCAGCATTGGTTCAACCTCAGCTAGCACACATATAGAATAATTTATTCCTGCACTTTATGAACATGCTTTCGCATAAACATAACTTTTGGAAACATATTGTGCATGATTCTTAGGATTAATAGGATGCTAAATTGAAAGGATGATTAAAGTCATTAGTACGAGAAGAGAATAATAAATATAGAATGAGGAGAGAGAAAGGTAGAGAAGTAGAAAAGAAAAGAAAAGAAAAAAAAAAAAGTTGCCATCAGATGAGAGCCTACTAGAAGCACATGTGATGTGAGATTCCCTTTATTTGGATTGTAAGTTAGCAATCTTTCTCAAGAAATCATTAAGAGAATCCTGTTCACTTTAAACTACAGATCAACTAATTGAGGGAGAATGCATCACCTTATTTGGCCTCATTATCAAATTTAATATAAACAATTATCAAATTTAAAATAAACAATTAGTTGGTCCATAATGAAAAATGGTTTCCTTTCAGTCAGAGGAAAGAGGAAAAAATTTTCTTTATTGATAAGGCTAAATAAAATGATACATTATATAGTAATTGGTTGGTTCATAATCTCAAGTTCACCTAATAATTTATTTTTTATTGTTAACATTTCTCCTTTGAATAATTTTAAATACACAAAAAAGTTAGCTAATTGATGAAACTTTTTTGGTCCTTATTGTGAGAAGAGCTTATCACTTAAACTTGAAATTGTTTCAACGAGACTTGAGGCTTAGTTAAACATTATTTTCCAATCACTATCTATTTATGTCTTAAGTTTCTATCACTCTTCTACTATTAGTGGATTTTGAGAGGTTCATTGACCTAAGAGTTTAGTGCAATGAAAAACACTACAATTTGAACCTATGATCTCAATTCTTTTAGCTTGCATACCCCTTGAGCTAGTCTAAGGTGGCAATTCAAGTAGAATTAGTAATTTCAGACTAAGTTTTATTTACTTATTTATTCATTTTTTTGGTTCAATTTAACGTAATTTAACAATTAAATGAACATACTAATCAAAAGCAAATAACCATTAATTAATCCATTTGGTTGCACTTATATCATTTTTATTTCATCCCAACATCATTGTTTTCATTGATTTAAGGAGGAGATGGCAATGCGCGGATAGTTAAAACTAAAGACGCTAATTCAAAGTACCATTGAAGTTTGAATTACCAAGAAATGGTAAAGCATGAACTTCTAAATTAAAAATTCAACAAATTTTGCAAAATAAGATCTAGGACATCAAAATTTGGCAAAACAGTTTAAACACAACGCAGTATATCAAAATTTAGAACCACAGATTATTTGTTATCCATGAAGTTAAACAAAGCTTAGCATTCATGGAACATTAAATAAATAGTGGAACTCAATAAAAAGGTGGATAGCATATCATTGGAAAATTGCGTGGTCTAAGTTTTTACCAACAAAATGTTAACTAATAGAATTTACATACAAACAATATATTGCTCTTTGAGAGAAATCTTGAGTTGAAACTATATAAACAGATTCAAATTCTATTATGCTACAAAATCTTAAATCTTGAAAATGAATGCAACAATATTCATCCACAGTTCTATGCACATCCATGCACAAATTAACTAATTTAAGAGTTTCACTTTTATCCTTTTTGTTTACATCTGTTATTTAGGAAGATTTGATCGTTACCTAGAATGAAATGTATTGTCAAACACATCTTGCATCTACTTTTACAATCAAAATTTTGCTTGAGTCAGTTAAAAATTGGAAAAATAATTAAGGTAATGATATTGTGAATGTGTTTGAAATTACTTTCTTTCACGTTTTGAAAATTCAATGAACTTGTAGTTAAAATCAATAATCAAAAGGGTAAAATTTCTAGTTTTGCTTATAACACATGCATCTTAAATCTACAGCATTAACTCGTAGATTAGAGAAAAAATAAATTAATTTCAACCAAGAAATTTTTAAGTGATTTTAATTTTTCTCTAAGGTAAAAGTAAACTAAAAAAAAATTAATGAGTTGTCAAACAAATCTTGCATCTACTTTTACAAATATTACTTTGCATATTTATGTGGCAATACAAATTTACTGATTGATTCCCTGTTTGTAGCACTGGATTCGGGAGAACTATCTGCTTTTTTTTTTTTTTTTTTAAACATTCTTCTTGTTATTACCTATTAATTAGATATCCCAGTTTTTAATTAAAGTACTATAAAGAGTGTAGCTAGGTATTGCACTTCTTGCACATGTTTGTATCCTGAAGCTCAAGTGAATAGTCAAATGATAACCCCCTCGCAGTATAAATTAAAAGATGGTATTCGCCGATTATATTTCTTTCCACTTATTTTCTGGTGTTTGAAAGGTGGTTATGCCAGGCTACGTGCATGGCCTTTACCAACTTCTCAGGTTGCTCTGAACCAGTAGCAGCTAAACCCTAATAAACTTTGCCAGAGCCCGACATTGCCATGTGGTGAGGTTTTGAAGGCGAAAAAGGCCAAAAAAAAAAAAAAAAAAAAAAAAATTAAAGCTGTTAAGGTTTCACCTTCAAACCTAAAGAGAAAAGTGAAGCCTTATTCCAGTTAAGTGCCAACCACATGGCTCTAGCTACAGATAGTCTAACACCTGGCTTACATAATGTTAGGGAGAAGGGAACCAGCAAGAGAACAAACAAGGAGACAACCAGCCGATAACCTATTCACAGCAATCCATGAGGAATCAAATGAAGACAATAATAAATAAATACATAACAGCAACACTTATAAAAATTCAACCAATGGTTAACTTAATTTATGATTACCAAGAAAGAAAACTATATATTATAACGTATTCATCTTTAGTGGACTAGTAATATGAGGGGGAAAAAAACATTTCAAAGAAAGAGGCAAATTAAGAACCACACAAGCACCAGAATAGAGAACAAATATAACTAAAAGCTAACTCATTAAGGGAAAGGTAAAATTACTGTAAGAGAAATACTTTTTAAAGATTGGACTGCTTTTATGTTACCTTTAAGAAGATGGCACAATGAAAACAGGCGCCTCCAGGCATTAATCAGTTCTTCCCTTTGCCTTTCTGGTCAGAATGCCTGGTTCCATCGCCATAGCAGAGCTGCAACCCAGGTGGGAATTGATGGTTGTGGTGGTGGTGATTCTCCATAGCTTGTGAAGATGCAGCACCAATAAAGAAAGGTACATTTGTGGTAGATCCGTCTATGTGAGAAGTAGAAAACCTCTGGAGGTGAGACAAAAGAGACGGTGATGATGAATTGGACTGAAGGGTCCCCCTATTGAAACCAGCAGCAAGGCCTGAAGATATTGTAAAGTTCAGATTGTAATCCCCACCGGGAGCCGGTGGTTGTGTTGTGGCTGCCACTGGGATCAAATGATCGGAAACAAAAGGAAAATGTTGTAATTGCTCCTGGTGATTCTCTCCTGATACACTGAATGGCGGGATCGACATTGTCATTGCGTGCGGGATTGAGTTCCCTAACTGGATTTGCCCAGGAAACCCCGATGAATGATGAGCTGTTCGTGACGATGATGGGCCGAAAAGCCCTGTGTTGAAGTAATCCATTGGGGGCAAAGGCCACTGCCTTGCCACAGAAGCTTTTTGGAACAAATTTGCCTCGGAACCAGTAGGACTAGCAGTATTGTTGTTGTTGCTGCTGCTTCTGTGATTGTTATTGCTAACACTACCAATCCCACCGGTTAAAAGCTCGGTAAATGTAGAGTTTTGAGAGATGGGGTTTAGGTTGTGATGATGTGCAATGCGTGAATCATTCTCTTTCTCCTTCTCCTTGGCTGTTCTCTCTCTGGCTCTCTCGCGAGCCTTAACTCGATTGACACGAATATCAGACCGTGCAAGCGATAACCCCGAACCTTTGCTCGTCTCAGAAGTGCTACTGCAAGCAGATTTAGATAGAGAGAGATGCTGGTTCTGGTTCTGGCAAAAATTTGGGTCATCAAGCTCAACATCAGCTGAATCAAACCCTTGTTCAGCGCCATCACTCATTCTTCTTTCGTCGCTCAACTGCTTTGGAGTGTCAGGAAAAGAATGATTGAGTGGAGGGAGCTCGTCAATTGCATCTTGCGCTGCTTTAATCAGCCATTCTACAGCTTTACTTGGTTGATCATAACCCAACCGATCTTGGAGATCATAGAATTGAATGGCGGTAGTCACCGATAAACGTACTCTCCGGTCTCTTAACCCCTTCGAGGTCCACACCTTGCTGTGCCGATCTTTACCACCAGATGCTCTAGAAACCCTAATAATGCGCGAAGTATTGTGCCACCCACGCAGACGATTGATGGTCCTACTATCAACAACAGCACCACCGGTACCACCACCGCTGTTAAGATTAGACCTCTTGAGCTCACCGTCTTCTTCTTCATCAGGATATTGGTGGTCAACATTTCCTTTCTGAGCTATTCTGCTGGTGTCATTTCTGCCATTACCAACTCTAGAGAACTTACAAGGCTGTCTCTGAATCTCTTCCTCCTCCATAGCACTACTTTCATGCCTTATATCAATAAAAAAAAGAAAAGAAAAGAAAAGAAAGAAAAAGAAAAGAAAGAAAGAAAAAAGAAGAACCCTCCTCTTTTATTTCCTTTCCTCGTTTAGTTTATTACTGGTTTGTGTTGGCTTCTATTCCTCTTTCTTTATCTTATCTTTTGTACTTGTTCCAGCTAGAAGGAAAGAGAGAGAGAGGGGTTGAAACTTGAAAGTGGGTGTGAGGGGTTTGTTTAGGGAGCTACTAGTTGAAGAGAGAAGTGCAGGTGGGGGTTGTGTGTCCTATGCATTGATGACGATAACAGGGAGAAGGAGAGGGGGAGAGAGTACTTTGGCTGTTGTGTGTGTGTGGTAATAAAAAGGGCTTTTCGTTCTTTTTTTTTAACAGTTCGATATATCACGGTCCAAGTCAGAACAGACCCTCCTCTGTCTCTTCTCTTGTACGTTTAAAGCTTTCTTTTTCGCAGTTCTGATCTTTCTCTCTCAAAAGCAAACCCTGAAAATGGCAGCCTCTCATCAGCCCTGCAACAAAAAACCTACAAAAATTATTTATTATTAATAACAGAGCCTATCATCAACAAAACTGTAGCTTATGTAGATCTGACTCACTTAATTACTACAAGCACAAACAGCAGCTACTACTAGCTTATAATATTTAATTAAACCTAAGCTAGCTAATAAAGATTATGATTAACTAGCTTTAATAAGGATAAACAAATGCTTATTTTTTTCAAATAAAAATTACACCTTGATGGTTTTGCTTGAAAATTAAGCTAAAAATGAAGAGCTAGCAGTAATTGCGTGCAGGTAGCCGATCTCAGCCAAACCCCTTTTTAATTTTCTCTCCTATTCTTTGGTTTAGTAGTTAAAGCTTTTGATGACCCTAAAAATGGCACACACTGCTACTCACTATAGCTAATAAGAACAATAAATGACAAAAAAAACATTTATTAAAACAGTGTTTCAAAATTACCAACAAGGAATAACAGTGTTTAAATAAATTAATTAATAAAAACAAAGATGTTATGTATTCTTACAGGTGTCAAGCTCTTAAAACAGAATTATGGAAATTAACAAACAAGCTTCATGTTAATTTTTTTTTTCTTTTTCACCAATTTGGATACTTTAAACAGATCTTTACTTACTAGCAACCAAAACTCACAGATCTACTCTTTTTACTGAAAAACAACATACATATCAAACAAATTATTCACCTCATTTGATTAATCGAAAATAAATGAAATGTACTCATTTTTAACCTGCAATGTAATAATTAGCTAGCTATAACCTTCCCCAGATCAGTTTCTTTCTTCGTAGGAAAACAAGAAAACAACATTAAATTACATTAAGGTTGATTTCAAATTAAGAACAAAGAAAAAAAAAGAAGCAATATCGAAGCTTGTAAGACAAAAACACAGTGGTATCATCAAATTGTTTTCTTTTCAACAAAAAAAAAAAAAAGAAACTTGTTGGAGTTTTAGTTTGCAATAAATTGTAGCTTCCTTTTTAGTTAGTTTCTAACAAAACTTTGTTATTAGATAGCTCTAAACATATGTAATGCATAACTTAAGACTCACCATTTCTTATTAAAACCAATAAAGTGGAGCAACTAACGAGAGCTTGAATTCAGATGATAATTGATATATGTATATATAATTAAAAACCAAGAATTTTCTTCTTTTTCTTTTTTCTTTCTGTAATGTGTTTAGGGTTGAGAAGAAAATACTGAAGGAAATATATGAAGGGGAATTTAGGAGAGTTAGCTAAAAAGGTGAGTGGATTTGGAAAGTACAAGAAGAAGAAGAAGAAGAAGAAGAAGTAGAAGAAGATGAAAGAGGAGGAGAAGGAGGAGGAGGAGTTTGTGTGTGTTCCATACCCATTAGAGCAAATCTCCGGGCTTATCGGCAAATGACAGAACACTGCGCCGTTCCTTCACCCCTTTATTATTATTATACTTATATATATCTCTCTTTTTCTTCTCCTTTTGCCCCCTTTTCACATCCTTTTTTACTCCCCTTTGCCATTCTCTTCTTCAAATATCTTTTCTGTACTATAACTATCCACCTGCACGCAAAACATAAAAATAATAACAATAATAATAAATAAATAAAATATTTGTTCCACTACTGCTCTATGATAATACAAATTTAATTCGCTAGCTATTAGCTACCTTCCGATTCTATTAGTACAATAATACATTTTGTTTTGTTTTTATTCATTTTTCCTTTGACAAACGGATTGTTCCTCTTATTATGATATATCATCTATTAAGCATGAATACGGAAAACCATATAAATACGACGATATGAGAATTTCATAAAATTTCAGATAATATATATGTGAGGGATATGTCAAATTTAAAAGAAAATCCGAGTACAAATAACACTCCAAAAATCAATATAACCAATAATAATAAATAAAGGTGAATATGCATGAATATATAATATTTGTAAAAAAATAAAAAATAAATAAACATCATCTTAATTATATTTGCTTAATCATGTAATTAATTTGGACATCTAAAAATAAAATTATCTCGATAATTATTATGATAATCATAAAAGGATTGGTGATAATTTTTTTCTCTTTTTCAAATTTAATTATTACCATATAACCACTTTAATTAGAGTTAAGTTTTTTAACCCGTAAAAAACTTAAAATAATATTTAAACGAACTTTAAAAAAAGACATTTCAAATTTATTCTTAAAAGGAATCATAGTTGCGTCCCTCAAGTATTCTAGTAGTGTCCTTCAGGTATTTAAATTTGCATTTTTTTTATGTATTTATATCTTCATGTGTTCAATACGTATTGTGTCACGTAAGATGCGTGTTCGTATGAGGCACGTCTTGGATACGGATCCGAGATATTGTCTAAGTGTATGTGCTTTATATTATATTATATTGTTAGAATTTTGCTAAATAGTGATGGATTTTTCCGTCGTTATTTATAAAAAAATTATCGCTATATGCAATTAGTGATGGATTAAAGACAATATGAATTACATAGCTAATATGGTGATTGCTATTTTTTTCAGCGACTGAATTTTTCTTTCGTTGCTAAATTATTGACATTTTGTCACTAAATTGATCTAAATCAATCATCTATAATGTCTCATATCCATCGTCAAACATTTGCTATTTTTCACTTAAATCCATCGCTAAATAAAGTCGGAGTGGACTCGTTGTTAAATTATAGTCGCTAATATTTTCACAATTTTGTTGCTAAAGTTGTCACTATTTAGCGACTATATATGTATCCGTCATTAATTATCCTATTTATTCTATCACTAAATTCGTCACTAATATATATATATATACATATATATATATATATATATATATATATATATATATATATATATATATATATATATAGACGTTTATTGAAAATAACAAACAACTATAAATAACACCTTATTAAAATATGATATATTATTTAATAAAATTAAAATTATACGTTACGATGTACAAAAACATTTAAAACTTTTTTAAATAAAAAAATAGTCTTCATTATTACCATCTCTTGTATCATCTTTCGACTATTAGCTATTGAGAGGAACGATCGATCGTCGGGTTATAAGACGGTCAATTGGAGGGATGAGAGGTAGTTGGAGGTTTTCTAACAACCCCACAACTCTCTACAACTAAGTATGCATGCTACTAACTCGATATATTGTTGGATGGTAGCCTAAATCTTCATGATCCTATCTTCATATTGGGTAAAAACCTCTTGGATATTACGATTAGCATACTACGAAGTGCTAGAGGAAGAACTAGTATGTGAGCAATACCGAGATGTATAGGTTATGATGTCATATATTCTCTCGTTTCTTCTCTCCTTCGACGACATCCAAATATAATTTGGATATGTCAATATCTTGAGATGATGCATTACTCTCCTATCGCTCATTAGCGAGTTGCTTTTTGTATTAACCGCACATGTTCCTAAGTCATGAAATAATTACAATATTAAATCAAGTCGGTGTATGTGCCCCAGCATCCAACCATATTTGGATAGGTTTAAGTTATTTTATTATTACATTATTTATTTTAATTAATAATAAAAGAAGTTTTTTTATTAATTATTATTATTTATATTTATTTATCGAATAGAATTAAATAAAATTCATTGAAATAATTACAATATTAAATCAAGTTAGTGTACGTACCCAAGATCCAATCATGTTTGGATAGGTTTAAGTTATTGTATTATTACATTATTTATTTTAATTAATAATAAAAGAAGTCTTTTTATTAATTCTTATTGTTTATATTTATTTACCGAATAGAATTAGATAAAAGTCCATATGATATGCATTCGCATTAGTGATTGATCGAAAGATGTGAGACAAACACTAATGCATATAAATGATATCATTAAATGTTCCAAGTTATAGCATTATCAAGAATGGATATTGATTATATATGATTAGATTTATGAGTGCTATGCTCATGCTATATGATAATAGTAAGAGATCTCACACCTATTGGCATAATGATGTTAAAGTGAGCACCGAGATGATTTATGTCAATGAACATATCATTGAACTTGACTCACCATGAGGGCCAGTTTAGTTTAGTCTATAGGAATCTCATACGAGATGAGTACAACCGGTCCTTAGACTTGAAGTCATTATGGCTATCTCATTAGAGAATTTATGTACTTTGACACTCGTTTCGATGGACCTATTAAAGGGTTGCACATGAATAATTTGTTAAGTGCACTAGGAATCTAATGAAAGTAGGTGGATGATTAAGATAATACATGTTATTCTTTATATGCCAAATAAGCTATCACATTGCACTTCGATGAATGTTTGCTCAAGAAATCTATGGCCACAGTAGGAGTATACCAATAGAGCATAATTGATTTACTTTAAGAGCTAAGACATTTGGGAATCAAAGAAAACTTGTGTGATCATAATCGAATAAGACTAATAATTAAGTTCGAGATCACACTATGATAAGCCGATATAAGGATTGAATTGTATGA